AAGTTATGATACAAAGAGGATCGAAAAATGCAACAATTTCAGATTCGCCCTGTATTTTAGGAAGTAAGAGAGCTAGGACATATTTGTATGTAGCATCTTTAGTTTCATAAAAAAGTAACAGCGTAATGTGAAAACCGCATCTTTGTATTTCGACTCGTAAACGAGAAACCCTGCAAAACACACGAAAATGGGTCACCCTGTACAGACGTACTGCCCAATCAAGAAATCAACTACGAATGAAATCCAAGATCGATTTAAATATTTTATATATTTTAATATTTTTTTGTGTTCGTCATAATTCCTTTGCTACTTCCCCCAAAAACCGAAAATACGTGGAAGGAGCGTTTCGAGGAAGTAAACGGACGAAGTAGCGTTTTGACGAAGGAGGAAGGAACACACAGTCGCATAAAATCGACATTTTCCCATAGTAAATATATGATTTTTGGACGAAGGGACGCGAGGAAAGAACGAAGTGAAGTAGCGAAGTGTGAGTATGGGGCTTAAGCCACTGATATCGCTTTTTTTATCGTATGACATTTTTTCCAAGGAATACGGAATTATCAGTAATTATATCATTTTAAACCTATTCTTCTCTACAGAAAAAAAGGTGTTTTTCCTTTCCCTTCTAAAAAATAAAAACAATGTTACAGTACTACCTTTTAATTATGCGGTTATTTGTTTTTGACGCAGAATTTCAAGCTTATAGCGGTACGATGTGAGTCACAAGGAACACGGAAATTTTCAGTCGTAAACCACCACTACTGCGGTTGCTAATTGGCCACCTACCTACCTATCTACTGTTAATTTAAATTCTTACTTTGTTTACATTTGACCTAGTTTAGTTTAGATAAATAGGGATAACCTGCTCCGGATGATGTTCCTAAGCAAGCTTGCATAGCGCTGATTTATATCTTTGCTCTGTATCCTATGTATACTTGTGTCTTATATTCGTATAACAGGTGACATAGCATGGCAGTAAAAGTTAGATCTTTTAAATAACGTAGATAAGTAAAATAATGAGTGCTTTGAAGAAGTCAATCGGAGTTCGCATAGCCCGATTGTAATCAATAACAATAGCAAATCTGACATGTGAAATATGGACTATTAATCAGCTGCACCAATGCACAATAATTTATAACTTTTTTTCCATAGCAACTGTTAAAATTGCCTTATATCTATCAAAAATAGTAGATAAAATAGTACCTACTTAAACCGCAAGGGTAGATTAAATGATATTTTAACAGCGAGGATAGGTTAAAAACTTTATTTCTTCTTGCACGTTTTTTAATTGCTTCCATTTTTGAAAATTTCTGTATTCCATTTCATAAGGTATTCGGGATTTAAATGCAAGTAGTTTGGATATGGCGTTTGTCGCCTCAACCTGAATATCTGTTGTTAATTTACTTATTTCGTTTTGAGCCATTTCTGGGTCCAATTCAATCAGAAATCGACATGAAAGAGAATTAAACAATATTGACTCAAAACTGACAACTAAAGAGACAGCTTTATTTATTTGTCAGATTACATAGAAACCAACGCCAACCCAGCACAATATTTTTTCTACTCGTAGTAAATTCCTTGAAAATAATAATTTCTGAATATTTTTTAAAACGTAACTCGCTATGGAAAAAAAATATTGTTTTATACACGACGATAAAATTATCGTCGCATTATATAGCAAATTATAGCATTATCGTCTCCCGAAATTAATTCATTCGCGATTCCATCGCTCGTCGACGATAAAATATCTTGTCTTGTATAAAAAATAACTATAAACCACAATCATCAAGAAATAATTGAGAGAATGTGGATAAAGGTAAAATTATGACGAGAATATCCAACGAACGACTTATTAAATATAGCTCTAAAAGTCTTGTATTCCATTAGCATTTCGAAGAGAAGTGCTAACACTAACTAAATGAAGAGATTTTATATCACTTTGAGAATCAAAGGCATATCTACTAGAAGGCTAACATACAAATACAACACTGAAACTTATAATTAGACTGAGTAGTAGTTTTAGAATTAATTGAAGTTTACGTAATATTAGCTTCCAGCTCAATTCTCAACTACTTTCATCAAAGGAAATTTTATGAATTGAACGGCAGGAGTTTTATCAAAATGGTTTGTTAATTTCATTAGCAATTTGATAAATGTGCTAGTTAAATTGAATATAAGTATCTACATATTTTTAAAGTTACATTGCACAAACTGGCAAATATATCTTCAATGATTTTTAAAATCAAAATTAACTTTTATATTTAGTTTAAAATGACAAGTTCTTTAATGCATTGACTACTTTATTAATAACCAGCAGAAAAAAATAAAGAGAGGTAAAAAAAAACTCTAAAAACATATGCCTTGGATTTTAAGTTCCTCATAACCTGAAGAAACTTTATAACACCATTAACACAAAACAAGCCAAGTTTAAAGAATAAAAGTAGTACAAAATAAAAGACTAATGGAACGATATTGTTTTGTGTTGTATTATACTGGTATCACAATAATTATCCTTTTACTTACAGGTTCTAATCGAAAACATTTGCATTTTTGTTAAAATCTGAAGACTACACGGGAAAAACGGACTAAGTCCAAAAAAATGGAAATTGAGATAACACTGCCATCTTATACCCATCAAGTGTCCATTCTAAAATAGGAATAATGTAACACTGAAATAATAATCTAAGTTTACTAAAACCAGCGATTAAAATATTAACACTTTGGAAAAGCGATGAAGTCCACGTGAATTAACGGAAGACCGATCCAAGTCCATATTTCATGTTTGTAAACATATCAAAGTATACAAAACAATTAGTGATAAGTAACCAGCATCCTCGAACCGTGGAAACCAGGGATAGCTATAACAGAGTTATGTCAAGTTTTGTTATTACTCCGCCAAATGTACAGAACATACATTCATCACCACAACTACTTTATGCTGACCTAATTCCTTTGCCCAAACTCAAGTATGAGCAGTTACAATCTTTGAAAAAGTTCGTAGATGAATCTCTGCAAGACTACTACACAAATTTGTCTTGTGCGTCAAACAATGCTCATCTAAACGATGCAGATATGGTGAGTAATATCAAGTAAACTATATTGCTTTTATTTCTGCCTAAGAAAAGAAGTCTGATTATGTCTATTGTGTCACTAGTTTTAAATTGAAAGAAATTAAATTCTAGAAATATGTTCTAGTGGAACCATAAGGGAACTGTCTAGTAGTGTAGTTTCATTTTATCAGAAACAAATCGCCATTCCTAAGTAAAAAATAATCTAATGCTAATAATATTAATAAAAAAATAATAATAAAAATAAGAAATAAATAAAAAAATATTAAGAAAATATAATAACAATATTAATAATAAAAATGAGAATAAAAACATATTTTTCTCTTTATTCCAGCACGAGTAATCCTCGGAGTAACAACATACAGAATTATTCCATATGGACTTGGATCACTTTTCCATTGAACTAAGCGAATACGAGTTTTATTTTATCTAACAAATTTGCTACAAATAATTTTTCTTTGTTTTGTCTGTTAATCAGTTAATGTCTATACATATAACTATTGATAAAAACTTCTTTCGCTACATTTTATTATTTCTTTTCGTTTAGTTTTTAAAGTCTCAAAATCATTTATCTCAAAAGTAAGAAAATGTGACTTAGATCGTTTTTCCCGTGTAGTCTTCATCTGTTAAAAAATTAGTATTGGTTTGTGGAAATACTCAGATTTTTATGCAAACAAATTTTCTACGACTGATTTCCCATCTAGACATCTGGCATCTGTTTGCAACACCTCGATAATTTCCCTCGAGCCAACATTGTAGTATATACATATAAATTCGTAGTTTTCCACACCTTTTTGGTTTCTAATTTACTACTTGTTAATAGCTTCATTGATTAGGTTTATATACTAACACAGATTCTTACTCATCATTACCTCATTAAAATTAATGTATATTTTATTAATAATTTAGTGGAATATAAAATATCACGAATATAAAATATCACGAAAATATCATGTGCATATTCTGCATAAATAGTTAAGATAAAAGAGAAAAAGAACGCCGCAACTGGGTACTTCAACTATAGTTAATATTTCCACTATTTCCATGGAGAAGCATAAAGGCTGATTCATGGTACACCGGGCCGTACCCGAGCCGGGCACGTTCCGTAAAGTAGACACCGAGCCACGTCCGGGCGTTCAATATATGCTACACCGAGTGGACAACGGGGATCATGTCCGGACGGGTTCCGGCGAAGCTCGGCCCGTGCTCGGCTTAGCATGAATGCATAGGTATAAATACCATTTGACAATGTTTGGCCGTGCCTTCACCGTCGCACGGCCCCGGCCCGTCACGGTGTACCATGAATCAGCCTTAAATTAGGGAGTAGCACTAGCCGATAAAGAGACGAGTTTAGCCTAGAAGAACGAAATTTGGTACAAACGTTCTCTGAGTGACGTAAAGTGGCTATGAGAACGTGCAATTAGTTTTTTGATTTTCTAAAAAGTAACGCCAGGAAAAAATTAAATTCCCTAATTTTCAAAAAAATCCGTTTTTTCCAAAAAACTCAGCAATCCTTGAAATTTTGAAAACTTTTTTGATGGCATCTTGGTGAACATCCCAACCTTAATTTAATCATGTTCGAATGTTCTACAAATGCTCGTACCTCGAATTTGTAGCACCCTGTATATACGGTAGATTTAAGCCTTAACGCCAGATAATAATTTTGACGAAGATTTTGTTTATAAATTTCAAATCAATGACATTTGAATCGTGTTTGGAATAAATAAAACAAGAGGCATTAAATATGAGGAATCACGTACATATGCGCACTTATTATGGAACCACCAACGGCCAAACAAAAATAAAAAATTATTAAAACGATCTTCCTGGACCTACCGTACGCCAAATTCATCACCCGACCTCCGACTTCCCCAAAATTCCCCGAACTTCGCAATTCTCGGGCTCCGTCATTCTTTGCTTTCTTTCGCCACTGCCGAAGGACGACGCACGAACAGACGGCCAACGGACACGTCATCCGCCGTCCGTATTTTGTCACCCGGCAGCAGCAGTCCACCGCGACGCAGCGAGAAACAAACTCATTCCGTCTCCGCAAGTTCCCCGGTACGAAAGCCGACATCAGACATAACCGGCCGGCAGCCAAAGCGCATTCGTTTTCACCACGTTCAAGTTCACGGCTGTCCCTACATAAAACACCGTCCTCGCTTTACCAGTTGTTCTCTTTTGTGTGTCTCGTCCCTAACCAAACCGCCGTGCCCTTAGAAACAACATGCAGTTCGCCGTTTTAACCGTCTTACTCGCCACCCTTCTCCAAACAACCTTATCACAAAACGCTACTTCGAGCAGTGTATCAGTTCCACCAACATCCACAGGACCCAGCTCAGTATCTGGCCTTTCCAGCACGATACCACAAGAAAGCCATCCGGCTGCACCAACAGCTAGCGAGGTACAAAACGATGAACCTAAAGCTGAACTAACAACGGGGGTTCCTGAAGCACCTCCGACTAGGGTACCTGTGAGCAAGGTGCCTTCCACTCAACCTCCGTTGGTTCATGCTGAGACTACCATGAAGGTTAATGCTACGAAAGGAGGTAGTGTTCCCCAGCAGAAAGGTGGTAAAAATGGATCATCTCGAGTAAGTGCTGGGTTTTTGGTGGGAACCTTCTTCTTCTTGGCTTTGAGTCGACTTACTGTTTAAGCTGGAAGATTTAAGAAACTTTTATTTAAATTTTTTCCGAAAATGTGTGATAATAACTGTTTTTCTTTCTGTAAAAAGGTCAGTCGTTTAATGAAGCCTATAGTACTATAATTGCTACATTTAAATAGCATGATATACAAGATTTTATTTTGTTTCCGCTACATTGTCATCTGGTAACAATGGATGTTGAGTCCCGTAAAAGAAAATTTTTTGTTTTCATCTCTATAAGTGATTCACACTTTTATATAATCTGATGTTATACATCAAAAATAATCAACAAATTTGTTCAGAAACCTAAATTATTTAAAGCAAGGGCATTAAATGTTTTCAATTATTTTAGAACTTAGTTATAATAATGTAAGTAAATTTTATTCATTTGTCTACTCCTTTTCTATGCTCATTTTTTTAAAAAATCAATTTGTAATTTTTCGAAATTTATTTTTTAAGCATCAAATATAGTTCAGTAATTTTTCTATGACCAAATTTATGGTTTAAACACAAACTACTATTACCTTACTTCTAATAGTACAGTTAGGGGTTGGAACCTTTTGTGTTACAACAACAAAAACAGCACTAATTCGCCACAATACAGCAAAAACACACATTTTACTTTTAATACTAAAGTTTTTTGGTGTATTGTGGTAAATTAATATTTTATTTTCCTCTTCTACACTCCAAAACATCTAAAATTCAACTGGATTCATTTTTATTGGATTTGAGTGCAGTAAATTTTTCAAAATTTGTATATTTTCTTGGTAAATTTAAGGAACATTGTTAATATTAAAAAATAGTTAATATGAAACATCTACATAAATATGTTAATGATTTTTATTAATTTTCATTGGGAATTATGGTTATACTTTCACATATAATATAAAACAGAAAGCATAATAAACAAAACTAATTAATTTATTCTGAAAATTTCCAGATTATATTCAAGAACGACGATTAAAGATCTGAATAAATCCACATATTCAAAATATATATAATTGCATGTTTTGAAATAATTTTATTAGGAAAAATTCCTTTTTTGTATTCTTCAATTACCTAAACATAACCATTACATTTTGAAAAATAACTAATATATGTAATAATTTACCAGTATTTTCCCATAATTTAATTATATTGTATTTTAATACATAAATAAAATAATCTACCTATCTAAAATCATTATTTTATTTTTAATAAATATTTTTATATTTAATTTTCTATAGCAAAATTTGTTGTAGCTGTTACTTTTATAAATGTATTTATGTAATATCATTTTAATGTGTATCTAGACGCTATATTAGAAAATATTGTTTTCATAAAATACTTAGATATGTTGTAAAACAAGATAATAACTTGAATCACTATAAAAAAACTACTACTATAAGAACTTTAATTCCTTCATGGTTTCTCTTATTAACATTTTATATTTGTAGAAGATAATTAGAACTGATAAAAGCATACCATAAACGAGTGCAGTTACTGCACTGCATAAATACAGAGGGTGGCAAGTAAGTACAAATATTTTTACGGGTGGTATATTTCGACCCCAGGAACATGTTTATGAGTTTTTTCATAAAAAAGTGTTGAAAATCGTACATTTTTTTTAAATTTCTATATATATTTTAAGAAAACTTTTTAGAACTGCCGATATCTTAATCGCCGATTTTACTCTATGGTTGCGGCACTAAATCCAAGTACGGAAAAAAATCAGTGGCTCTCAAATTTTTTTAAAATAAATCAATTTTTTTAATTTTCAAAATTGAATAACTCGGTTATTTGGACTTTTTGAAAAACGGTAAGGAGAAAATATTGCATTTGTTAAGACTCACTCTGTATAATGACTCAATTCAAAATATATAATACCTGTAGTACGCCCATTATAAATTTAACCATTGCACTAATCTAACAAGTACCGTATTGAAAAAAACTTGGCGTCCAGTTGTCTTGGAAATGAACATCGATGACATTCCACTTTTAATTTTACATATAAAATGACAGCGATCTTCAGTTCATAGCCATCGCTATTGGCATTTTTTTCGATCATACAGCTTACATGTACATTATTTTGATTGTTTCTTGTATGAATTTTCTGTTTATATATTTTTAGAGTAGTGTTAGAAAACTAAAAAATAAATTAAGATGCTGGAGTTATTCAATACAGGTGAGTCTTAAACTCGTGCACTTATTTTCAAGGCTGGCAGATCTAAACAAAAAGAATCATATTTTCTTTACCATTTCTCAAATAGGTTAAATCAAAAATAGACGAAATTTTACTATGAAAATTTAGAAAATAATGATTTTATGTAGATTTTGAGGCCTCAGTATTTTTCTGTTTTCATTTCTTTAACTGTAAGTTTAATCTACACTACCTATGTTGCTATATTATCAAGATATGTCTGTGTAACTGAAAATTAAAAAAAATTTTTAAAAATCTTTTTTTTGGAAAAATCATTATAGACGTGGGATCGAAATATACCACCCTAACAATATGTACTTATTAAAAGATTCACCAAATACCTATATAATAAATTATTTTTTTAATACAATTCACTGTCTCAATGTACTTTCTTATTTGTCTCTAAGTTTTGTTCTAATGATCTGATTTTTTTCAAGCACTTTTTGTATAAAATATCAAATGCCATATTAATTTAATAGTATATTAATAAATATACCAAACATACACGAATCCTACATATAACATATCACTATTAAGGTAAATATTTAATTATATGCATTAATCTGAAATTACACATTGTAAGTGTTACGCATCATAAAACTATGATCTTTAAGTGATTTTAACGATAATTTATTCAGCAGTTATTTAGTAATTAATAGGTATGTATTATAATTTATCTGTAAGAATGAACTACGGTAAAACAGTATACCATTAATCTGTAGCTTTAAATGTATAGGATAGAATACATTATTTAGAGTTTGTACCAAAATGCCAAAAAACTGTGAATTAATAATAAATATTAAATTTACATTTGTGTTTTAATTATTAAACCTTAATCAATGCAGAAAAAAATGATACACATAGCGAATATTAAGTTTTTTTTATTTCGAATTTATTCTAAATAAGAAACTTAATATTTTAAGTATTTTAATTTCTTTTGTAATTATTCTCTTTGTTTTCCTTAAATGATTTTTTTCATTGTTTGTTATTTTATTATTTTAAAGTTTTCTACTTTCAGTCCATTTTTATTAAAATGTCAAAAGTTTCAGGATTTTTTTTAAAGCGCCCCCCGTTCTCGCTTCATTGTTTATACATTTTCAGACCACGGTAAACTACTGGATCATTTTAACTAGTAGTGGGAACTAACGAATGAATACTATCGAAACATTCGATAGTTGCAATTCATTCGAATAATTCGATAGCTAGTAAAAAAACATTCGTTGAAAACTATTCGAATAAAAATTATCGAATAGATGCGTCATTTGCCTTGAAATATTGTATTCTAGTAATTCGGCAGCAAAAACCATTCATTTATAAAATTCATTCATTTATGAAATTCATTTATTCGTCAGGATCGATTATAATAAAATATTAACTGGATTTTGAATTTGTCGCCCGGCGATGTAGGTTTCGAAAGCCGACAGCGGTCGGTGGCAATGCTATGAAAGAAGCCGGCACCTTTGATTTTGCGGAGTCATATAAGATAAGGACACATTATTTCTTTTATTGAGGTGCTAGTATTTACACAGAAAATACATTACGAAGACTGTTGCCATATATTGGTATTAGTTGATATTAGCAAATACTATTGTTTGGCTTTAGTTAGTTAGGGATAGTATGTCTATATATTTTGCATTTTTTTTATTAATATTCTGTTGTTACACAATAATACTTGTTATTTGGATGTAGGAAAATGATTTTAATGTTTTTAAGCAAAGACTGGTTTAATAAAAATAATAATAACAATAATAATTTGTTATACCTATTAACAACAAAATTTAAAATAATTTAATATAAGCATTTTTGCGTAGTAGAAAAGTATAAATAACAAATTAGATGTCAAAATTATTTATATTAGATCCTATTTAAAATAATATAGTCTTTAAATTTTTAAATTAAATATTTCTTCGCAAAAACTACATGTAAGAGCATAAACAAAATACAAACATCGTTAACTTTTTTTTTAAATTGGCACATTAATAAAACTTTCAATTTAATTTTCTCACCCCCATAGTTTGAGTTCGATAACCCCATTTACTTAACCACATTGCTTAAATATGATTATTAAGTTCAACTAATTCATATTATTAAAACATCTAAAATACAAATACCTATGTATTTTAAGACATTCTGAGTTCATCTCATCTCTCTTAAAAATTGCTACTTCTCAAAATTTCCCCAAAAAATAGACCATATGTACCATATAAAATAAAATAGTGAGAGATCGGGCTAGGGAAAATCACACAAATTTTTCGAAGAATTTTGACACCTGCACACACACACAATCATCAATTAAATAAAACTACTATTTTAGTATTTTAAATATTTTAATAAACGCAAAAGCCTTTTAGTATTTATAAGGTGAAGTTATAAATATTTGGAAGAACTAATAATACACTGACACACAGAAATCAACGAATACTAAATTTCATTTATCAAAAGCATTCGATAGTCGTGGCTCAACGATAACCATTTAGTCGCACGGCGAGGTTGTCACATATGCTTTAGTATACAAATGAATGAATGATTTTATTCGAATAAAACCATTCGATAGTTGAAATCATTCATTCAGTAACCATTCGATTGTCTAATTCATTCGATAGTTCCCATCGCTAATTTTAACGTTTTCACACTGCCAGTTACGCTGGCCTTCAGTAATCTAAGCATTGACCAACACGAAAAACGGCTTAAAATTTTCAATATATTTTGTTCTACTGTGATTTTCTGGATTTTTTAAGCAACGTTTGACTTCTTAGCCTCCTTTTAAATTAAAAATTAAAGAACACATCTGACTTTACGACAAAAATGTGCATTATTTTGGCTAAAGTTTGAAACACCCTATACAGGGTTGTTCACCACATACGACACGGAAGAGAAGTATTAGCTAAACGATTAGATATTTACAAATTGTAAGTTTTGGGTTCGTTGAAGGACTATTAGAGCTACAATTTAAAAATATTTCACCCACAAAGATACAGGAGTGTTCCAAATAAATAAAAATATAAAGTTGTATTTTTTTTAATGAACACCACAATATTGTGCATTTTAGTTCTACGATTAAAATAAACGTAAATTTGATTAGGTTTATTACACTCAAACCTTACCGTTTTGAAATATTTTCAATTTTGTGAAATTCCAGTATAAATTTTAAGACTTCATTTCTCCGGGGGTATCAAAGTTTTTTAATAAATATTTACTGAAGTTTATTTATTAATCAGTTATTGTGTTGCAATAATAAAATTATACTACCCAACCTTAGGTGTCTAAATTTATTTTAAATAATTACTAACTTAAACGGCAATAACGTTTAATTTAAATGGAACACCCTGTATATTTTATGAGAATCAGATGCACAATTTAATTGTCTATGAAATTGTATTATAACACTTTTTACATATCCCTCAAGTTTTCGTAGAAAATGCATTTCCTTATAATTTAGACCTCATTAATCAATATACCCATGGAATATTGACATTTTGTACAAATTATTACATTACATGCATTATTAACACACACAATATTTGTATGCAAAAAGAAAACTATTTAAATCTTTATAAAAGAATATACCATTAATTAAATATATCACCAGTATTTCCGACCAAATACTAATTAATTACATACTTAATTGTGTTCGTTAATAAATTATTCTAAATAAATGTGGATTTGAATCATAAATCAATATAATAAGTTATAAAGCGTCTCTGTTGTTATAAATAAGCAATTATCAAAAAATAAAATATCATTTTTTAGGTGTTAGTTTTACAACACTGTCTAATACATACATAATTCAGTCTTTTAGTATTTAGACGAGTATTATTAATCAACGCAAACGGTCAATTCATGTATTTT